TCGTCAAAATTTTACGTGAGGTCCGACCTTGAACGTAACCACCCCCCTACAGAATAGTGAGTCTTCGTCCATTTCCTATTGATCTTATCGTAGGCGGATTTTTTTTGTCACCTTCACTTTGTGTTTCCCTTTGTTAAGGTTATTTTGGACTGAAACGTCTTAATACATCCTTCCTCTTAGCAAGAATATCTCGCTTTCTTGTTCTGTCTGTGGCGGATTGGGTATAGTTCTTGCAATGACCCGCGTTCAGAGACCTGGCACGTGGCTGATAACCACCCACTTCTACGATTAGTTTGCTGAAGGTTTCTAATTGATGAGCCTCCAAACTGTGCCAGTTGGTCTGCGCTATTAACTTGTCGCAGTTCTAAAGTTAAAGGGAGGATCGCTCGCCTCTATTTATGTGAGCGCCTCTACGATATCTGCGTATCCCTCTCAATCATAAAGTTCATTTCAGTCACAGATCATCAGTTAGGGAAACTGATGTTCAGATGAGCGCTCTTCTTGCACTTCTTACTTATTCATTGCCGAATCTACGATAGCAGTTACAGTACGCGTTCTATTAGCTTTACAGTCACCTTGCCACCAGGAAGACTCGCCACCAGCTTTGATTTCTTCTGCCATCTTCAGATTTACCTCTCTCTCAACTTTACGTCTCCGATTTTTATGAGGAGGATACTGGCATTTGCGAACCCGAAGATCTGAATCTGACGCCAAGTTGTGCAGGATATTTGAGGCATATAGTGAAATCGCGGTCTTCGTAATCTCCAAATAAGCCAATATGAGTTGGAATAAGCTTCTTCTCGGACGAAACGCCTGTTTGGGATACATGACGTCTCTCGAATGTTTTTTTTTTTTTATGCCGTGCACCCACGAATTTATGGGTATGAGATGTTGCCGTCCCTGGTCAGCGCGAGAAAAGTAACATTTGGTTCTACAGTTAGTTGCAAACGAACAAGGCAACTGCGCCATCTTGACTCTATCAATTCGAGTTTTAGGTTGAATTGAGGGCTTTTTAGACACTCGCTTACTTATATGATATCACTATGAAGACGTAATACAACTGATATACGACACTAGATAGGATTAACAATGTTGCAATCTGTTGCACTGTTACGAGAGGAAAACATTACAGGAAGTGTAAACTCTTTAAGAGTTTTATAAAGAGACGTTTCAGAGATGTCTATCTTCGGTTGTCACAAAACATTGACCCCTCTTAGATTTACTGGGAAAAATGAACCTTTTGATTTCTCAATTGATGTTGTCGCAAATACAGTTTTTGGGAGTCACGAAACAAAAAAACTTATCGGGACCTAGTTTTATGTTCTAATGTAAATAAATGGCAGATACAAAAATATATTATCTTGAGAAATAAAGTTATAAATAACAGGGTTTTTTTTAAAACAAATAGTGACAGAAAAGGTTTCAGTTCTGGCCAGTTCTGGAAAAACGCTTAGGGAATTAAAATCACATACATGTGTGATAATGCAAGAAAGGGAGTAAAAATACAAACAAAGAAAAAGTGAAAAACATGTAGGAATCCGTGTTGCAGCGTGAGGATACCTTTCGAGCCAGACCTACACACCTAGGCCCGTCGCCACGCAAAGAAACTCGAAAGGGTGCTGTATACCAACTGGCTCGCACGTGCACGCAGGAAAGGCCATGACAGTCAGCGAAAATAATAGCAAATGCAGACGAGCGATTTTTTGTTAGCTTTAAATGCATCGCTCTAGTGATTTCTTCAAAAAACACTCAAGGATGAACAAGAATTAGTCAATTATAAAAAAATATATATTAGTAGTACGAAACAGGTTGAAATCTTAGCTCTGGGCTGGCCGATTTTCAAACTTTCTTGACAATATCAAACCGTTAAAGCGTTACGCGCGATAGAAAGCAGCCGTGACGGAACTTCAGACGTCAAATAACTTTTTTGGCGAAATAATTATTTCGACACCTATTATCTCGAGTGCTTCTGGGTTATATAACTTCTGACACATAGACTTACATTTATGGCCAGCTGATGAATATAAAACCAATAATTTCCACCGGCAAACAATATCACTTGTCTGATGGCCTTGCTGCCATTCGATTCCCGACAGTTGCCATAAAGGGGCGACAGATAAGTCGTCGAATGATCTTTTTCTATTTTTATTTATGATTTTGCATATAACATCTCAAAGCCAGTTGTGTCCAAATGGCCATCAAATTATCATGAATAATATATTTCTACCAGTTTCGTATTGTTTACTGACGGAAACTTTGAGTAACTATAACTAGGTCACAATTCGCCTGGGCTATGGGGTGAGTGAGCGTACAACAACAGAAAAAAAAACTTTAAAAAAATGGTAGCTGCTGCTATTTAAATACCTAACCATGAAAAGTAAAGCATTGGCACCTAACCATGAAAAGTAAAGCATTGGCACCAAGGCAACACGTGCTTCTGCCGACGAAGAAATTGGGAAAGTTATCAGGACGATATGAAAGAATATTTGTTAGTAAGTAGCTTCAAAGTAATACGTTCTAGTGATAATATGGAGGTAACAAAACGAAAAACGCAAAGCACCTTTTTGAAAAGTACCGTTTTACAAAGTAGACAAAGCACTGCTTCGCTTCATTCGTTTTTTCGCAAACTTTAGTACACAGTGTAACGCCACACTGCGACAACCGGAAATAGTTTCGTTTGCCACACCTTAGCCCCTTCCCACCGCGCTTTTTTTTTTTATTTTTTTCGCGCCCCGTCTTACGCCCTGCGCCCCAACTATAAACTGAATGTCTGGAAGAGGCAAGCTAAATTGTTATTTTTTAAGTGGGAGTGCATTTATTTTATTCATTTTACCACTTAAAGGTAAAGGAAGCTGAAATTTGATGGTTTTCCAAATAAAAAGTTTTCCGGGTGTTGGGTCTTATGTCTTAGCTTCCGGAAACCCCATTGGCGCCTGTATTAGGCGCAATTTCACGCCCTACTACACTGTACAATAAGTGCCAAAAGTCGGTGGATGACAACCCTTCACTCAACATGATAAACAGAAATCTTGTATTTCATCTCTAATAAGGTACTCGCAAGTCCCATCTTCCCCCAAAACAATAATTTGCCTTAAATTAGGGACCACTTTGTAACACCAGGCAACATTCATATGGGAGAGGGTTATAAGAAAAACTCAAAAATTAGTAGAGCATGCTGAGACTTTTGCCATTTATTGCACAATGTAGTTTTTATGCGTGTGTCTTCTTTTAACATATGTTTGGGGTATATTGAAAACTTAACAGCCTTGAAATTAGACACAAAGACTCAAAATACCAACCAAAATGTAGTGTGGGGGATTTCTGATTTTCATAATTTTTCATAACCACAATGGCCTCAGATGTAATACATAACAAACATTTTGATGAGCAAACTTGACAGAAAAACCAGAGAGCAAACGACGTAATATACAAAATTCCCTACACAGATTTGAAAACATACCCCTCTTGTTTGAAATTGTGTCAAATTTCATTAGAGCAGTAGGATTTTATACCGGATTTATTTGTGTGAGGAGACATCCTCTTAAGTCACTAACTAGCTTTCCAAAGGTAATTACTCCATGTGCTTGCTAAGAGGGTAAACTAAGATCTTTCTGATAAAATTGTACTTAAAAGTTCAGTAAACCTTGCCTCACGTCCAACAGTATTTGGTTTCTCACATCTAAACATCATCAGTCCAATAAACTAAATAGATATATTGTACGGAATGTAAAAGTTTTCTACCCCTAAGAAAGAAAATCTTCCAAGTTCTACCTGCATTTAAACTAGGCCCAGAGGAAAGAATTGGATTATAGCATACTTAATTTTGGGTACACCTTTCTTATAGTCAGCAACAGTTTTAAACTTACCTATGACTTGCACTTAAATTGCTCGTTTCCAAGTAGTAGCAGTGGAGTCAATTAACTCACACCTAAATTCTCCCAAAGACTTATATTGTCAGCAACAGTCACAGGAGAGATAAACAGAGAAGCTCTTCCTGAGGTTGAGCTTACATTGAACCGTTTCTGAAATTGAGCTGTAAGAGGACCAGCTGAACCATCCCCTTGAATAATGACTACACTATCACTGTTGAATCTTATGGCACCAAAACCTAGACCTGGCGTCAGACTGTAGCTCCAGTTTAGTGTGACGGAAGATCCTTCATAAACCTGTACAATACCAGGGGGGAGTGCTTCAGCTGGATCTGATGTTGTCCTAGCGGGAGTAGGTTCATGCAATGTGACACTTCGGCCATCTGAAGGAGAATACTTTAGATCGCAGATATATTCATTTACAACAATTCATGCTTACGATCTCATCACACAAGGAACAGCTTTTGTTATGATTTTGAATTAAAACACCGTATACAGTTAAAAAGGCTCCATAATCTGCCGCTGTCAGTATAAAAATCGCCTTAATAAAGTACATTGTAAGATGAATCGATCGAGTTCTAAAACGAAAGAAGAAAGTAAACACGCAAATGTTAGAACACAATCCCAGATAAATATAATACCTGTTGGTTGGGGTATAAGAAAAATCCACATAAAGATATGTTTCATGTGACAAATCATTTTACATAACTCCTTATTTTCCAAAGATGAGTACTTTGCTGAACCTAACTTGGAGACATCGTCGCCACATATGAACGCTTAACACGGAACAAATTTCTCTTGATAGGTGGTTCTTGAATGATGATTGCGTTTTAGACGGAGGTTCTAATTGGTTTAGAGGTGCTGGGTAGTCTGGAATGAAAGACCTAACGAGTCCAAATGATCTTATGGATAGCAGAGGGATCTCTGCTCTGCTCCACTGGAATCGTTCGGTCTTTCATTCCAGAATTTTGCCCAATACCCCTAAACCAATCAGAACCTCCGTCTAGAACGCAATCGTCATTCAATAACCAATCAGTTCTCACGTTAGTTTACTTTATATGAAGAGGAATCTGTTCCTCATCCGCGTATATTTGTGGCACTCATCCTTTGGGAAACAAGGAGTTATGTAAAATGATTTGTCATATGAAACATATCTTTGTGTGGATTTTTCTTATACCCCAACCAACAGGTAATGTATTTATCTGGGATTTTGTTCTAATATTTTCAGTGTTTACTTTCTTCTTTCATTTCAGAACTCGATCAATTCAGCTTATCATGTACTTTATTAAGATGATTTTTATGTTGACACCAGCAGATTAAGGTGCCTTTCGAACTGTATACGGTGTTTAAATTCAAAATCATGGGAAAGCTGTACCTCGTTTATGAAGTCGTAAGCATGAATTGTTATAAATATAACTGCGATCTAAAATATTCTCCTTCAGATGGCGGAAGTGTGACATGGCATGAACCTACTCCCGCTTGGACAACATCAGATCCAGCTGAATTACTTCCTCCTGGCATTATACAGGTTTATGACGGATCTTCTGTCACGCTGAACTGGAACTACAGTCTGACGCTAGGTCTAGTTTTTGGTGCCATAAAATTCAACAGTGATGGTATAGTCATTATTCAAGGGGATGGTTCAGCTGGTCCTCTTACAGCTCAATTTCAGAAACGGTTCAATGTAAGCTCAACTTCAGGAAGAGCTTCTCTGTTTATCTCTCCTGTGACTGTTGCTGACGATAAGTCTTTGGGAGAATTTAGGTGTGAGTTAATTGACTCCACGGCTACTACTTGGAAACGAGCAATTCAAGTGCAAGTCATAGGTAAGTTTAAAACTGTTGCTGACTATAAGAAAGGTGTACCCAAATTTTAGTATACTGTTATCCAATTCTTCCCTCTGGGCGTAGTTTAAATGCAGGTAGAACTGGGAAGATTTTATTTCTTAACGGTAGAAAACTTCTACATCCCGTATATCATAATCTATTTAGTTGATTGGACTGATGATGTTTAAAAGTGAGTAACCAAATACTGTTGGACGTGAGATAAGGTTTTACCGAACTTTTAGGTACAATGTAATTACATGTACACATGTACGTGTCTTGCAGCACTTGAGGTTCCAAGTGAATCAAAAACCCAAAATGCATAAAAACAGGCTCAAAATCCGGGTGCACCTTGAGATGAGTGAAAAAATTAATTGCTGAATTAGAGGTTAAAGATAACCCAAACATCCCTCACGTTCTGTTTACCTCAGTAATCAAATGCCAGAGTGTGATCACAAAATCACACATGTGATCTTGGTTTGCAATCACCCCTTTTTCATCTGCGGGAAGGAACAATTAGATGGATTTCAACAGTGTAAAGGATACTTATACCAAGTAATGGTTGCCACTCAGACTGCTTGTAGTGATGGTGTGACCACAAAGCAACAATGAACTTGACTATTTCCATCAGATTTTCCAACCCCTAACATAGTGCTGTCTGTTAGTACTACATTTGGCTACATTCAAGTGTGATTTGATTTGGTAAACCTCACATGGATAACATTGTGAAAAAATAGTCAACCTAAAGAGAAATCAAGCAATTAATTTTTAAAGGGTTCAAGGTAAATTCAAATCCAAAGAGGTGTTGATTACTATATGCTGGGAAACTTGCATGTGTAATTGCAGACAAAAGTCTTTTTACACTCAATATATTTAAAGTTTATCAGAAAGATCTTAATTTACCCTCTTAGCAAGCACAGGGTGCAATTATCTTTGGAAAGCTAGTTTACTGACTTAGGAGGATGTCTCCTCAAGCAAATAAATCAGATATAAGATCCTACTACTGATATAAAATTTCACACAATTTCAAACAGGAGGGGCATATTTTCAAATCTGTAAAGTGAATTTTGGATATTACTGTAATTTGCTCTCTTGTTTTCTGTCAAGTTTGGTCATTAAATTTTTTCTGCTATGTGTTACATCTGAGGCCATTGAGGTAGATAGATTATGAAAATTAAAAATCTCTCACATAGATAATTCTGGTTGGTATTGTGAGAGTCTTCAGGTCTAATTTCAAGACTGTCAAGTTTTTAATATACCCCAATTATGTTTAAAGAAGACCTACTTGCTTAAAAACTATCATTTGAATGTTGCCTGATGTTACAAAATGGTTACCAAGTTCAGGCAATACTTTTTTCGGGGGGGGGGGGGGGACTTGGAAGTAACTTATTAGAGATGAATCACAAGATTTCTCCTTATTACGTTGATTAGAGGATTGTCATCCACCTACTTTTTGCCTTTATTGTACAGTATGGGTAAAAAAAAATTCCTAGGAATTTCTGGGAATTTTCAGGAATTTTTAGGAATGTTTAAGAATTACTGGGAATTTTAAGTAAAAATTTGAGGCTAATGATATAAAATAAATGCTTTAAATTAAAAAAACCCAGCTAGAATTCAAGTATTCAATTATTTAGAAGCTTAATTAAGGCTTACATGTAAAATATTTTTGATTAATTATTAAAATCAACATGTGGTAATATTAAGATGGAATTTGATTTATTTTTCTTTTCTTGAAAACTTCATACGGATTAATCCTCAATTACAACTATTTATATAAAAATCTGTTGATTCTTAAATTATATTTGAAAACCAAGCACTCTTGGGAGTGAAGGGGTTAATTACAGATAAATAAAATTGATTTTTTTAATTAAAATCTTGTTGTAACTGTAACAATAAATTAGAATGAAGTTATCCTAAACTGCAAACTTAGCTGCTGTTTGTATTTTTTCCCTGGGCTCACAATGAGTTGGCCTTGAATTAAAGGTTGTCTACAAGAAGCTTGACCATTTTGTATCTGGATTCCATGAAATCTGAATTTGAAAAAAAATAATATATATAAATATATATATTTAAAGCTCAGACCAGGCCTTCAAGATGGCTATAAGGAAAAGGGCATTCGCTGGATTCTCAAATTGAGAAATCTCTTTTATACTGAGTGACTTTTATATTGGAGTTAGACATCTCTCCCATAGATTTTACTAAAAAAGGGCTGAATACATTATTTTGTTTTTACCGAGGGCTTCTTTATGTAATAAGGTTTGTTTAATAACAGTTCCTATTATGAATCTTGAATGTTCCCAAACGTGACTAAAGGAATATTGAAACCTTACTGATAGGTTTATTTCATTGTAAAGCATAAGCTTAAGAAACTGCGGCATGCAAGTGACCGATTCGATTCTCAGAATTATTCTAGTTTCAGTTGCGCCGAGCGCTACGTGAGCTTAATTCAACCCGTTACATCTATTTGTTTCTAAGATTTTGATAACGTAACGAATATCGCCATTTTTACTCACCACAAACTTTCAAAATCGTAGCTTTAGAGATGGCCACTCGACTCTTGTTTGTACCATTCAATATGTCAACTGTTGTCCCTTCTTTTAACTCCGCGGCGCCAACGACTTTCTTTTCTGTTACAACACTCACGCTGTTCTCGTTTTCCCATTGAACCACAATAAAAGCTATCTTTAGAAATGTTATATTAAGCAAAACAGTCGAGAAAAGCGATCAACCGATGAAAAATACATTCAAAGATTAGCGCCAAATGGAGTCTTCTTTGTTTCCAATCACGGGCATGATCACGTGGATCTTTTAGGACTTGTCATTGGCTAGCAAAGTGAATCCGCTGGCTTGCCGATTGCAGTGTTAAGAGAAGTGCACAACATTATTCTGACTTCTCCGAACGGTTTTCTGCCTCTAGACGTTGGACACCTTGGTGATATAAATAATGATGTGAGCTCATTCTATGTAGAAATAATCGACAAGAATCGATCGTACCACAAATGTACAATTTGTGGCCGAAAGTTCTCGAGGAAACAAAGACTCGAAACCCACTTGAGTTGTGTTCATGGCAAAGGTGAGAAATAACACAAGCCAATCACAATTTTGAATGCGATTACAGATCGTCTTTTACTCTCATATTTATAAAAGAAGGATACCACATTAGGAAGTATAGGAGATACATAGATGAACCCAGTGTACCAGTAGCTAAATCTACATTGCTTGACCGTAGCAAGCGTTCAGCAACACGTTCCAACACCACCATCTAGATTCCTCAGTCAGTCGTTTCCACTGAACTTATGCACCTATCATCGGCCATCCCCTGGGGGGGGACCCCGGGCAAGGGTGGGGACTTTGTAAAGGACCCTGTCAAAGTTCTTATTTTCCCCCTCCTAGGTGGGGACACAGAGGAATCAAAGTTCCCCTCCCTGAGGGGAATCACCTTGAGCAGCTTGAAACCTGACAAGAAAACAGTACTTTATACCCTTAACGAAATGTCATGTTTTAATAGTGCTTACATGTTCGTAACAATGCAAATTTCAATGTACTGCTAAATACAATTACACAAAAAAATGTTTACCAAAATACAGTGTAATACACGATGTCTGTTCAGCTGACTTTTTGGACTTAAACCGAATATTTACAACAATGTTGATGAGCATTTCTGATCTATTGACAGCATATCATAAATGATAAACCTATCAAAATTCAATAATGCTCAAGTGGAGCACATATCACAATAATACTCAGGCATCGCATCCGCATCTTCTTGTTTCTTCATTTAAGACAACTTGAAATTGACCTGTTTCGTTTGCAAAGTCCCCTGTTTTCCCCGCGGTGCAAGGCTTTTGGAAAACAAACCTCCCTCATTTCCCCCACCTCCAGGGTAAGTTAATTGTTCAAATCCCCGTATAAGTCCCCATTCAACATTGAATTTGCCTGGGGTCCCCCCCAGGGGATGGCCAATGATAGATGCATTAAAGCAGTGGTGACAACAGAGTAGAGTGCGTCTTACGAAGGAGAAACATTTGTACAAGAGACAAAAATAACTATATGCGATTACAGAGATGCGTTGGAACTCTGGTCCACAAATAGTTATGTACTGTCTGAAGTATAAAACAATTTTGTTGATAGCTGACAGACAGAGAAGAACAAAAAGTCAAACTTTAGAGCTGTTATTATTGAAGTGTGACTTGCACTTTTCATTTGTATATAAAGAAGGACTTGTATTTTGCACCAAAAATAAAAAGATGTAATATTTTTTGGGAGATCCAGTGATTGGGACATTTAATAAATTAAATTATGAAAGGAAACTTGGTTTATACTTCTCAATACTAACAAGTCTTGTTTTAAAATATTTTCAGATCAGGGTTTTAAATAAAGTAAATTGAAGACATCATTTAAAAGGTGTTTTTTCTCAAAGGGAACATTTACTTACCTCCGTCTTGTCTGCATGCCAAATGTTTGTAAAGTGTGTGGATGGTCCACAAGTATTGGAACTCTTACAAAAATGTTTTGTAAGAATAAAAACAGCAAAACAAATTATAGCAATCAGTCATGAAAACAGAGCAAAAAACTGAAAAAAAAGCAACAACAATCATGAAAAAAGAAAGATTAATTAGGTGTCCGTTTTGTTTGTCTAAGGCATGAAATTTCTACTAAAAATAATGTCAACAAAAAGTCTCTGACAGTGTTTGAGGCAACTGAGCTTGACTGTTCCAAGGTTTTCTGACAAAGGCAACCAGTAATGTAGGTTAGGGAAGTAACTTATGTTCATAACTAACAAAGTTCTTTAAGTGTAGATAACAATGTAATTATTGTTACTCATGTGGAGATTGTGTACCAAGGAACAGCTAATGAATATTTGATGATTTTGGCACATCAGTGAACATGAGACATTTTGCATCACAATAAAAATATTTTAAGATCATGGGATCCAAGAGTCCTTTGAGGTTAGAAAGCAAATCTGTAATATGAGTACATTGGATTAATTGGCAATTTCCATTCAACATAATTGATCGCTGCTTTATGAGAAAATCCATATTGATGTAGAGATTTACTAAAACTTCGTTTGAATAATAAATTTCATGATCTTTAAGTCATAAACATATACATGTATGTGTATCTTTTGGTAAATTTTGTATAGCATACCTTTTATTGAGCCAAAGTTTTAAGCTTCTGAAATTACTCCTTTTCTTAAAAACCTTCCCATTCAAGGTATTAAGAATTTCTTAGAATTTATGTGGACCTCAGGGTATTTAAATTGCCTCAAATTCAATTCCCAGAAATTCCCAAGAATTCCACCCTTCTTAAATTATAGGTAGTTTGTATAGCTGAGAATTCCTAGGGATTCCTAGGAATTCCAAGTCCTCACAAAACTGAAGTCTTCCTTTCCCAGAAATTCCCAGTTATTCCAAGCTTTTTAAATCAGAGCTTATTTGCATGGTTGGGAATTTTTTGAGAATTCCCAGAAAACTGGGAATTCAGTTTGCAGGGGTTATTTGCATAATTGGGAATTTTTGAGAATTCCTAGGAATTCCCAGAAAACTGGGAATTCAGTTCGCAAGGGCTGTTTGCATGTGCAAGGTTTGCGAAGAAGATTTTAAAATCATGTATTATCACTTTTAGTGTGTTCCTTATATGTCTACATGTCTTATATGTCAATTATCCTTGAAGTTTACATGTGATTGTTTGATTTCTCTTAGTTCCATTAAGTATCACTGGGATTAGAGGTAAAACAACTGTTCTTGAAGGGGACAATTTGCAGTTAATCTGTGAAGCATCGAGTCGAGAAGAACCAAAGATCACTTGGACCAAAGAGAAGACAGTGAACCAAGGAAATACTGTTGTGGTGCAAGAAGGAAAGGTGCTGACCATAGCAAACATTAACAGGACTGATGTAGGAAAATATACTTGTACAGCAGACAATGGCTTTGGTAAACCAGAGGATCAAACAGTTTATGTGAATGTTACTTGTGAGTATGCATTGAAAAACATTGACTAATGTTAAACACAGATACAATTTCCTTATACTATCTTTTGTTCTAATGTGTGCTGTCATTTACTTGTATTGATTTTTGGCTCAGTACATCCATGCTGGGCTCCAAGCTCAATTTTTCAAAAAAATGCATTTTGGGAACCTTCAATAATTTTGGTTGCAGTCCCTTCCCCTCCCTTTAAAAAGAAACCTATATCCCTTGATGATTAAGATTGTACATGTAATAATGGTCATGAGAGTGGGAATAGAGAAATATCTCTTCTTTGAAGTAAGCTGTAATAGTGGTATTAAATCCTTTAATGTTGTCAACAATATCTTTAGTTACTAAATATTTAGTCATGATACTTCTTACCGTAAAATTGAAGGTTAGAAAGTTAGGTTAACTGGTACTGGAGGCTACTTAGGCCTTTTTTGGAACTGGCCCTTCATCAAGAATTTTACTTTTCACAACTTCAATCTCATGTGGCATAACTAAATAGAATACATGATTTGTACCTGCTTGCTTTTGGGTGCAAAGCATCTTGAAAATTGGAAATACCATCAAAAAATTTTGGAATAAAAATGCTGAAGAAAACATATTTATGTTTTTGTTGCTTGGAAAATATAAATAGTCAGCTGTTGTATAGAGCTCTTTTCCAAGGTCCATCCATGGTGAGAAGTATGTCATATTTCATTATCATATGGTTACATACTAAAGGAATGTACTAATGTAAGAAGTGCTAACTAACAGTTAATTCATCGATAATTTTTCCAAGGATCAATAAATTTTTTCACATTTTTCCCTTCTTTTTTTTTATCTGTTGGTTGCCAACTGGCAACTTTTGTTGAAATTTTAGTTGCCAAATATATTTTTCACTCGCCATGGGGACCAAAATGGTTGCAGCTTGAAGCGTTGCCATGTTACATGGGAGATGTTCTCCCACCCCTGTCAGTGTAAACTCCTCTTAAAATTAAGATTAGATGTTGTGTTAGGAGACTCTAGTGCTCCACTATCTGTGTTAGCAAATATGTTCAGTTGATGGTGATTTGGAAATCTTTAACAATCCAGTTCAACATATCTGGTAAGATTTGAAATATCACCTCAATGGCTTTCTGAGTGACAACCTGAAAAAGTTATCTGTTTAATTATTGGATACTATGAAACTTTGATTACCAGTAATTTATTTAACATGCATCTATGAATGGCAAGAGGATCACCCAGTTAATATCTAGGCAACTTGAAACTACAATACACCAACAAATTAGAAGAATGTTTTTGCAAACCCCACATAAGTGAAATGAACTAAAAAAATGTTAGACTAGATAAAGAATACCCTCTTGTATATGAGTGTACTGATAGGGTTAAACCCCTTACAGTAGCTATTGAAGACAAATCACGCAGATGTATCTTTGTGTAGATGCTGTTTTTTAATATTATTTTTTACTTTCCAATTTGATGTACAGATCCACCAAAGATTGTTGATTTTCAACATGAGTATATGGTTGGTGTACAACAAAGTCTAACTCTTAGCTGTGAAGCAGAAGGGAACCCTCCACCTACTTACACTTGGACTCCATGTGACCCAGAACAAGTTTGTGACAAGGATACTCTTCATATTTCACAAGTCCTTAATGATGCCAACTTTACTTTCAGAGTGGCCAATGTATATGGAGATGATTCAAAAACTGCCACTGTTTGTAAGTCACATGTACATTGTAGTCATGCATCTAACAGCTGTATCTTCACACATGTACCAACATGACATATTGATTATAATTGGTTCTTGGAGTTGAACCAGGGGTTTAAGCCTGTCAGGTTGTAAAAGCCCATACAGTGCCTTAATACTTCGTCTTGATGGATAACTCTCTGTTTTCCTTTTAATAATTACAAGCTATTGATTATTTTATGACATGTAAAATGCAAAGAAAGCATTGCAGTAATTAAACTTCAGATGGCCTATATACAGGGGTGAGTATCAAAAGTAGGAGAAAAAGCTATAGTCAGGGCTTCTGACACTTAAGGTACAGGAAACATTCTAATTGTGTGGGATGTTGAAAGCAAAAAGTTAGTTTGATATGAGCTACTGACTTTTCCCCTACATTGTTTTGCTTCAATGTACAAACATTTTCAAAATTTTTGCTAGACTGTTTCTCTTGTTCATGCTTCGAGAAAAAGGACAATAACACAATTTGTCATTTGACAAGCAATCAATACAATCCACCAATGAGAAATGATGAGAAAGTGACCATCGCCCTGGATCATATAAGATATGGCAGAAACCCCAGTTGTTCTTGTTACAAGCTGCTTACTGAAAGCAACAGACTTCTCAATCATCTTTGAGCTTAAATAAACTTAGAATGATCCTAAAATATTTACCAAATGGAATACCTGTATCAATAAAAAGATTGAGTAAATTGTTTGGAAATGATCATATTCTCTTACTTCACAGACATTGGAGGAAATGTGATTAACATAACTATTGTCATCACAAGTGAGATATGTATAGATGGAAAATACAACCAATCCTTATTACTGGAGAAATTAAAAAAACCAGTAAGTTGATGTACACAACTCAGATATTGTTATCAAAGCTATTAACTAAACATATACTAGTTTACATTGGAGGGATTTGTTTTCTTACACTATACTGTGTGCCTGTGTTTAGCTTCACTTGATCTGTCAAGTTTTTAATTATTATTGTCACAGAGTGTTGGTTACTTCAGGGTCAGAGACTGATGAGCTGGTTGTAATATTATTAATAATTAAAAGGAAATTTGGCTGGTGGAGAATGTGTGGAGAATATTTCATTTAATTCTACATTGTTTCTTGAATTCCTAGATTGTATGCAGTCTTTCAGAGTTAATTCTGTCAAGTCTTGAACATGAAAGGCTTAAATCTTCCTATTAGTCAGTGTTTGCTCATGGTCTGTATTTAGGGCAATAAGAGGCCTGGTGTTTTCTTTCCAAATTAAAATAGGAGGTAATTGACAAGAAGAAGAACAATTATTCATTGAATTAGCACTTTTAAGAAACAACTGATTACGATTCGGAGACTGATTCTCAGCAAAACAGCCATGTTCAATTTAGTACATAACATTTGGTGTTATCCTCATTTGTTTATGTGTAATACATGTACACTAACATTTTAAGACAAATGATAGAAATGCTTACTTGCAGCTTGAGGAGGCTTTTGCTGATAAACCTGGCTATGAAGGAGTGCAGTTGATAGGTGTGAGGTATGTGAATTAATGAGATTTAGATAATTGCCAGTTGCTCTCACTTCCAAATATATGAATTTAGAAATTTTACTTTATGGTCTTATGTTATCAGTTTTTGATTTCATGTCACTCTAACTCGGTTAATGTCTGTCCCAAGGTGTGGAAGTATCATTGTTGACCTTGCACTGAAATTCAACTCCTCTGCAAAGGAACGAGATGTTATCATAACACTCAATGACACTGTGAAAGATGGAAAGCTGGGAGAGTTAAGTGTTGCAGCCATAAAAGGGAAAACACCTGATGTGGAACCAACAGGTGGAGGTGCCACATCACCACTTGACAGGTCCCATGGGGGTAAGTCCTCATAACACTTATTACAAAAGTTTTGCAAGTTGATAAATGAATGTCCTTGCCCTGTACTTGGTTGTAAGCATATTTTTGCCTTGTGGAAAAATTTTAAAGTTACTGTATTTAACTCAATATTGATGCTGTGGCAGGTTTATACAGAGATCTGAAAGCTTGGTTTATAATGGTAATGATAACAACCACAATCACAACCAGCCCCAATTTGAGCACTAATAGGACAGTATATGCATCGTGTGTGCGCCCTGTTGTTGTACATTTCTTCAAATTAACTGTTGATTTCTATGCAAACATGTAACAAATGGTTAGTATGTTTCTGAATATCTTGTGCTCTTTATCTGCTTAAATTCACTTTTGTTCAGAGGTTTAAGAACATAGTTCATTTACATCTTTTTTTCTGGGATGGTTAACCGGAAAAAATAATGTTTGGCCTACATGAGTCCAAAAAAGTGGCAGCCATGCTTGTTTTCCTCAGATTAATTGAGTGTATGTTTTGTAGAGTCTTTAGAGCTTCCAAGTGAGACAAAAACAGATGAAACATTCTTTAATGACAAAATTTTAATGCTAGACTTTGTACATACTTTAAGCAAAGAGTAATTTAATCTGATTTTGTACTCTAGACATCTATGACTTTTAGCTTCCTGAAAATAATAATAATTATAATAATAAAAAAACAGTTAATGTCCAACTGAATCGAGTTTTAATTTTAGGTCCAAGGACACAATTTTGATTGTGTGACATACCTTAGTACTCATATATCTGTATGGTTCAGGGAACAATTTTGTAGGTTTACTTTTAATGAGCTTTAAATATTGGTAATGGTGACAGATTATAATCATGGTTTTCTATTTTTTTTGTTTCATTTTGCTTATGCAACCAACCCTAGCCACAGAAAAAGGTGAGATTTGATTATGTTTGACTTTATGTACAAGCTTGTGGATTGAGGAGGGGTTGGCTCTATTTTATTTTTTCCATGAATAACCAATCGGAAGTTGTAGTTTAAAAGTTTGTAAATAAGGGATAATATTCATTATATTATTTGGTATTTCTTTTAACATGAGCAGAATTTGTATCCCCAATTTTTTCTGAGCGAGTACATAATTACACATTGCAGCCTGTTGAGTTTCATGTATGTAATTGTGGTGTATGATGTTTTTCAGCCTCGTTTTCATGTTTCACCACAGTCCACATTATTTGTGTAGAAATAGACCTCTCTAGAGTTTCTCTTCACGCCTTAAAGTTTATTCCGACAATATAAGCTACAGTAATGAATTGTGAAACACAAAATTGTAGGAAGAAGACAAATTGAGTTCTGACTGAATTCCAAATGTTTCCTGACCATAAAAAAAATTGTAGGTGCCATAGGTATTGTTGTCGGTGCAGTGTTTGGATCAGTTGCTGCACTGGCTGTTGCCGGAGTATTAGTTTGGTGGACTTGCAGGAAAAAGAGGCACAACAGGAAAAGCAATGAAGGTAAGTGTTGCATACGTGTTATGCTCTCAAACAAACACTAGTTTTGGCCTCCTAGAGAATCTATCTTTTATATTTTTCCTTTTTTCTAGGACTAAGTATAATCTTCAGTTCACTTTCCATTGCATTATGATCTTTGCTTAAGCGATTTTTGTATTTTTAACAAATAACTTTCAAACAGTGTATTGTAAACTAATAATTTGCTTTCTGTTGTCTATTTTGTGGTTAGCTAGTTATAGTTAGAGGACCTTGCATGACTTTGTACACTTTATGAATATATTTGATGTACATCAAACAGACTTTGCTTGTGAGAGATAAATTTTGCTTGATTTCAATTATTTATTGTTTTGTTTTGTTTCGGTTTCCTTTAATTTTTTTGTTTTGTTTTGTCTTTTATTTTCACTATAGAGGTGGGGATGAGCAGAAGGTGAGATTTTTATATTGAAATGCTGTTGTCTACTTGTGTTGTTCCTTAATGGCTCAATTGTTTTAACAATTTTAACACCTACACTGTTTTTCATGTGAATGTTTGTGATTGATCCAAGTACCATTAACTTCGAGGCACTCTTGCGCAGCAGAGATACCACTTTTGAACAATGAATTTAATGGTTGTCACTTGTACAATAACCAAAATCTCAATGAACTGTAGAAAAACTGGGAAAAAAATAAAAACACCAGCAACTAAAGAGTATATGTTAGTTAAGCTTATTATCTTATTCTCATATATATAATTATGTATATTGCAAGATCATCACATGTTAGTCCAGGCCTAAGTACTAGTTTTCTAGGTGTCTCCTATTAGTTAAGTGATCTTACCTCAGTGATCTCACTATGACTAATGAATAAAGTGCTATTGTTATTATTATTCTTATTATAAGTAATGGTAATAGGACTGAGTTGAGTCCAATTTGGTCTGTAATTACGTGTGATTTTAAAAATTGGATGACCCCAGAGCAGGAGTCCGAAATGTTAATTACAAGTGAATCAAAAAGTAGGACAAAATATAAGAAATGATGTGTTGTATTAAACCAACAACAACAACAACAGGTAAATTCAGCAAAGTACATGACAACAATGCATGCACATGACACAAACTATCCAATAACTCAGCCCATTGACAAGCATGACACGTACACTGTCCCATTGGAGCTTAAATTGGGGCTTGTGGTAACTAATCACATTCGTGAATTTTATACTTTTGATTATCATTATCATTATTATTATTATTATTATTATTATCATTAATATTATTATTATCATTCTTGTTATCTTTTTCATTACCATTATTATAATTATCATTACTCCAAAAGCATTCTGTTATAATGATAGGTGATTGATAAGGTAGTCTTAAAGGTTGACAAATTTGTCGAGACTTAATTGGAAAATAAATTTATAGCTAATCTGCCCATAATACTGTTATCATTCACTATATATTTAGAAGGTTCATAAGGATAAAGTCTGTTTTTCTTCAGTCGCAGGAAACCACTCTGAGCACATGATATTTTTCTCCACTGCTCGTAACTGGGAGAAATGAAACTTTCAATGCTTTGTGATATATTTGCTGTTTCAGAACATTTGGAAATTCAAGTAATGAAACAGGAGGAAGTACTAATGTAGGTTACATAATGAAATCTTATATCTTTATATATAGATACATTTTCCTATAGTCCTAGGTGCGATTTGTTTTTACGTTGCTGTCTTTACTGAGAGTCTTCCGCTGCAGTTTACAGTTCATACCCGAACCCAGAAAGTTATGATCGATACAGATTTTAAGTCTATTCATTGATATTTTCAAATAATAGTGGCTTATTTTTCATAAGACAGCTGATTTGAAGATTTGAAATAATTTCCTAGCAAGTTGGGTAGTTTATTATCTTTTGTTGATTGAAAACAACTTTGTCTTTGAGATTGCAGTCGAATTGCCTAAACCTTCTCAAAGCCATTACATGGGACTGGATGACAGAACTCGTTCACAAGTGATAGCAGATGCCAGTCCACTCAGCACTGAACAAATCAGCGAGTACGCTTCTCTTAATTTATACACACGCTCCTGGGAGATTCCTCGAGAACATGTGACGATAAAGCAGATCGTTGGAAAAGGTGCTTTTGGTCAGGTTGCCAAGGCAACAGCCGTTAATCTACAAGGAAGAGCCGAGAAGACGCTCGTAGCAGTCAAAATGTTGAAAGGTACCAAGAAATAAAGTCATGTTTTACTTGATCTTTGAACTGACTTAGAAGTCTGTCCAAATTGTTCCGTTTATTTTGATTTTGACGATGTGCTTCTGCATAATTTCCAAGCTCCTGTTTAGAGTAATCACAATCTATATGATTAGTCCACAGTTATGTCCATAGCTTGAAGCTTGTTCTACTTGATGTAGCGATGGAATTTTAAGATGTAATTTAAACATTCCCTCTTAAATGATGGTTACATATTGAAGCCTAGGCGCTTTACGTTGACAAAGAATAGCACCTTGAATATGATGTATGGTAGTGTCGCATGATATCTATTTATCTGTCTGTCTGTCTTTCTGCCTGTCTTTCCGTCTGTCTATCTGTATATCTGTCTGTCTAGCAATCTATCAATCTATACATCTATCTAGCTATCTACCTATCTGTCTATCTCTCTATCATTCCATCTATCAATCTTTCTTTATTTCAATCTATCTATTTATTTATCTATCTTTCTATCTATCCATCTCTCCATATGTATGTCTGTCTATCGAACTATCTATCTATCTATCTGTCTAGCTATCTGTCTATCTTTCTATCTATCAATCTCTATATATGTAATGTAATGATTTATTCATCTGTGCACGTTTACCTAGATAATTCGATAGATAATGGTATTATTGAAATGTTATTCGACCATGATTGACTGGAAATCCTGTTGCAGAAAAAGCATCTGAATCAGAGAGAAAGGACTTGCTGTCTGAACTTGAACTGATGAAACAACTTAAACCTCATCGTTACGTTATCAAACTTTTGGGATGCGTTACCAAGTCTGGTAAATACTTAAAAGTTTATTATCAGCTATGGTTACCGAAAAAAAATTAGACACTGCACTAAGCTCAATGAGAATGGTTTTTTATGAACTTTTTTCAGGTCTGCAAAAAGTTATTTGGTTTATTTTGGTTTATTTATTTTGCTGGTGTGAGGTCATCTCAGTGAGGAGTGGTTATCCTCATTTTTTTTCATGGCTAGTGACCAGGGATCAACTCCTGACACTGCGCATGTGTCCCTCCCCACCCTATTTCCCCTTCCCTTGAACACCAAAGATGTTTTAATTACATTTTTTTGCAAGAAAGAAATTTTATTTCCTTAAATTCATCCTGTTTCTTTTACAGGTGGAGCTACGGAGTTCTCCTCTATGAGATTTTCACGATTGGTAAGTTACTAGGCAGATTGCCAGTCCAGTCATTTTAGCCTCAGTAACTGAGGGGGACACGAAGTCATGAAGTAAGCAGGGTTTACCAGTCTCTGTAGAATTGGCTTTTGGTCATACCATGTCGCTGGCCTTAGCCGAAAAAAAATTGTTAATGGAAATACATCTGTAGAGCTCTTCATTTTAAAGTATACTAACATTACCTGCTCTATTCAGGTGGTTCACCGTATCCACGAATGGATGGAAGAAAAATTGCAAACTTACTTCAAGAGGGATACAGAATGCCTAAACCACAACATGTGGATGATAAGTTGTATGATAATATCTTATTATTGTTTCTTGATGGCTTTTATCGTACATCAGTAGTATTTGTGCCGCTTTCTGTTCGAGTTTCATGTGCGCCTAAAGATAAAACCATCTTTACTTATTGAACCAGCCTAGCGGAGGGAAATAAAAGAAAAAGTACACTATCACCAGTTGATTTCTGTGGTATAAATCTTTTGTCCTCTATCATAACAAGATGGAATTATTAGACCAAAATAGTTTTTGATGGATCGAACCGTTTCTAATTAAACTTTTTTTTTTGACGAATGAATAAAGGGGTAAGTTTCTAAAGAAACTGTGGCTTTTATTTTTTTTATTTCTTTTATTTTTTTTTTGACGTCCTTTTAGGTATGACTTTATGACAAAATGTTGGAAAGATGACCCTAACTTGAGACCATCTTTTGAGAAGTTGAGAAACAAACTCAAAGAAATGGAAAACCAGCACAAGGTAGAATTATAGAGTTTACAAAGAGACTCTCTCTGTTCTTTTTTTCCTTTTCAAAGTTTGATTGTTAGAATCTACCACCGTCAAGTTAATTTGATAACGGCGGCACCATGAAGGCCTGCAAGCGTAGTTTATGGCTTCAATTTATTTCGCTTTCAGAGCAGTTTTCAATTGAGTTTCGAAAGTGGAAATCGAAAGTAAAAACTAAAACTAATCCCAGCTTGATCACGCGCGCTTTTCCGCGCTTCAAGGAGGATGCCAGATCTTACTTTAAGTTCTCATTGGTTAATGTTGATGTTAAATTTTGTTCTGATTGATAGCTGTGAATACTTTGGGTTTGGTTTTTCAAAGGGTTAGGTTTAGGGTTAGTTGGTTTTTCGATGATTATTCTAAGACTTCACTATCTAAAATTAATTGTAACAGCAATATACACTCTTTCTGGGAAAAAAAAATGAAGGAACTCTCGAAAGCTTAACAGAGTATAGTATAATTTATACCCATTTTTCATATTTTTTCGTATGTCTTTTTTTTTTTTACAGGGGCTGATAAACTTAAAAAATTACGATGATCGACTCTACGTTAATGTTGACGATCTTGCTGTGTGAGCGAGTGATTTCTCCTACAGGAAGGGATGGAGTAATGGATATTGGAGCCCTATGACACCATCTTTTATTTTCCTTATATCTTTTACATTTAGCCATATTTTTTGCTGATAAAGCAACTTTTTAAAACAAGCTGTTTGACAGCAAAGCGAGGAAAAGTGCGGCCTTCTTATATTCTCACATATTTTTATACTTTTAGTCTTGGAAAGACAAACGATTTTGTAATAAAAAGTTTAAAAGCTGCAGCCTAAATCCCCCCCCCCCCCCAGCGTTATAAAACATGTATTTTATTTTAAAATGTCCAACAAATCCACACAAAAGATATTTCAATGTCGCATCTGCTGTCCCTTTTGTTATATTTTGAAATTTAGCGAATGAATCTCTTGTCGTAAAAAACTTCCTTTATTGATTAAGGTGGTCCAGTAGGGAAAACAGTGATATTATTTTAACCAGCAGTTTAACCATGTTTAGATGGTGTTCATCAAGAAAAGTTAGTTTTTCGCCGTGTACTGATCGATTTCATCACAAAATCCTAACTTTTATGAAACTTTCTAAATGGTTGCAATGGGTTTATAATGGCCTAACCATTCTTTAAAAATAAAGAAAAACAATTTAAAAAATCAAAGGGCTCACTCAGTTTCCATCGATTTTAATTATCCCCCAACATGTTTACAGGGTACTGACATTCTGATTCCTTTGTTTCACTTAGAATTTTTGACAATGAGTCATAATAAGACGTTGTCCCTTTTAAACTGTGAATTATTTAAGTCTTACATTTCAATGAAACAGAATTAAAATTATCCGTGCAAAGTTCCAGCGATCATAGCATTCGATCGAGAAGTTGACAACTAAAGAATTTAATAACAATTGCAAGCAGACCAGCGATCTCACAAAATTTCAGTCATTCGCGCTTCACAAGAGAAACGAGAAAATATGTTGAAAGCCTAACTGCACTTTGTTAAAACGGCTTCAGAAAGGTTTGATCCACAGGCAAAACAGAAAGTAAATTATGACATAAGATCAGGAAGTCTCACGACACTGACCTATCTCCGCTTCTTGGTGCTTTCGATCTCTCAGGCTCCGCCTTGGGTATAAATGTAAACGACCACGGTTAGGCGGGGTACCTCACCTACCTGGGGTCCCTCACCTACCTGAGGTCCCCCACTTACATGTAAACAGGTCCTCATGAATAAGTATAGATAATTTTTGCGAAATTACTTTTGGCCAGAGGCCGTTAAAAGAAGAAAGAGTGACCTTGTAGCCCTTTCTCGTTAAAGGGCTCCGGTTCAGTTCTCAGTTTGAACTGTGTTTAGATGATTCTTATTTCGACAGCAGCAGATTGCTGTGCCTTTGAGATTATTTAAAATTAGAGGAGAGCTGTTCTTGTTTTGACGAAATCGGAAAACGTGTTTCAATATAACTGCGAACTAAAATATTCTCCTTCAAGTGGCATGAAATTATAGGGGCTTAATAATAACTAGCGCATGCGCATTCAGAACAGGAAAAATAATGGCACTAACAGGCCATTGGCAGCCTTAATGCCGTCGAGTTTCATCCATTCAATTGGACGTGCTGCCACTGTTAAAAAGGTCTAAGATTTGACTCGCATCAAGGATTCAATTGAGTGTTGTGACTATGTTTACCAATACCTTAATCGTACAATGTTTATGTTTTCATGTGTATGTTAAGTTATAGGAGCACAAAAAGAGGACGGAGAATTTAAGATGCCCGATTTGTGTGGAATAAAAGGAGTCAGTAGAACATATTTCAAGAGCAAACTATGCCGAGAAGGAGGCCTTTTCTTTGCAAATCTCCGCTAACTCTTGGATAAAGGGATAAGTTTCTAAAGAAACTGTGGTGCTGCGTCGGTGGGAGAGTTTAGCAGATAATTTAGTGTTAACAACTGAGTTGAAAACGTAAATTAGCCACCGTAAAGGGTAAAAAAGCTGACGTTTCGAGCGTTAGCCCTTCGTCAGAGCGATTGACGGAGGGCTAACGCTCGAAACGTTAGCTTTTTTACCCTTTACGGTGGCTAATTTACGTTTTCAACTCAGTTGTTAACACTAAATTACCTGCTAACTCCAGGATATGTTGGGAGGTAGTCAGAATCTTATATAAGAGCTACTGATTACATTAGGCTTTGCTTGGAAATTTTAAGGTTGTTTTCGACAAGACGCGACGGTCATTTTTATATATATCCCTCAACAGCAAATGAGCTTGACCTCATTCCTGACATAGCCAGTGTTACCTTTTAAGATCTCAAAACTGTGCAGAATTCAATATCTTGATGGCATTGAATCCTGTGATTGTTAAATTGTAAACTATCTGCAAACCTCTTTCAATGTATTGTTAAAGAATTAATATGTATAAAGGTGTCCTCTTTTGAGAGCTGTTATGTTTGTGTTCTGTCGATTTTCCAAGAGCCAGTGAGAGTTAGCTTATATTCTTTTCTTTCCCTAAACAGTCAGAAAATAACCTTTACTCTATGTCTTTATCAAGAGGGAAAGCCCTGAAAGTTATTGAAGGTCGCAGAAACGATGGGAGAAAAATTTGTAATTAGGTTGTCTAGTTCGTATTGCATTGTTGCTAACATCAGTGACACACTCAGTTGCACCTTGCACGCCACTTTTTTGTTCTCACCACATTTTAATGCCATCTGTGATCCATAACTGAACAGATGCACAGCAACATACAATCTACTGGTTAAATACAATATAGGGGCAAAATGTTGATAGTGGTGATGTCACCTATTTGCAGAGCTCTAATAGATCGTAAGTAAGAAGGAATTAACATAAGTGTATATTATTCATCTTATGAAATAACGATTTGTTAAACCATTAAAAACTTCCTGTAGTTAAATGCAAAACATTTGATTGGTGACGAGGTCTCCCTTTCTTCTCTTTCGATCTCTTAGCGGCCTCCGGCCAAAATTAATTTCGTAAATGACGCTTTAAACGGCCCATGAGGGCGAAAAAATACCACAATTGCGTCGATTTACACTTCATTAAACTTTATTGAGGCATTCAGACCTGTAATGTAGATGTGTAATTTTCAGAGCGTAATTCATAACCGTCATAGATTTACCAGATTTTGCTCGTCTCGTGTCAACAATTATTAACCACGAACGGATAGTGTGGACCAGTGGTTTTACAAACGGCCCAGAACTTATTATATCTTATCGATTTGAATTTCTTAAAAGCCTAATGAAAATAGGGAAAATATGGCTAATAAGTATCATTTTGTGATGAATTGAGATTGGAATGAAGAACCCTAATCCTCCTAGTTCCGCTCTCTTTCCATTTCTTCGGCTTTACCTAAAAAGGCAAAAATCAAATTAATTATATTTATTCTTGAGGATCTGATTACATGGAGGTATGGAACCCCCGGGTGGGTGAGGTAACTCGGCTAGTTGTGTTCGAAAAATAGCCCGCGTTTTTTTTTTCTATTCTTAAGGCGGAGCCTGAGAGATCAAAAGCACCAAGAAGCGGAAAGGCGCACGTTTTCATTAAAAGATTTCCTGCGCTCATATCGTCATAATTCATTTTCTGTTCTGAAGCCATCTCAGCAGTGTAGCAAAGTGTAGGTACAAGCTTTCTTTTCACTTTCTCGTTAATCATCCTTTGTAGCGCCGATAACTGAAATTCTGTAAGATTGCAGAATCTGCTTGCAATTATTGTTAAATTTCTTTAACTTCTCGATCGATTGATGAAATTGAACGGTACATGGCGAAAGACTTAGTTTTCTCGATGAACACCATTACAGATGGCTAAACCGCTGGTTCAAAAAATGATTGTTTTCCCTGTCGTGCCACCTTAATCAATAAAGAAAATTTTTCGCGACAAAAAGATTCAGCCGCCAATTTCGAAATAGAACGAAAGGGACAGCAGATACAACATTGGGTTATATTTCGTTTGGATTCGTAAGCATATTTTAAAATAAAATACGTTTCGTGTAAAAAACTTATAAAAAGTCTATAACGCTAGGGGTACAAATTTGGGTTGCAGCTCTTAAACTCGTTAGTACAAAATCGTTTGTCTTTTCAAGACTAAAAGTTTAAAAATTTATGATATATGAAAGCTGAAGAAATATCCTCTATAAGGAAAATAGAACATGATGTCATAGGGCTGTAATATTCATTACTCCATCCTTTCCTGTTTTATCTTCATGGTCCACTACCGGAAAGATTCCCGCCCTCGTAGAATATTCACATCTGAGTGGCTCATATCCGCAACATGTGCACAAGCCTTACGCATGCAGTTTTAGTCTCAGCCCATTTTTGGTCCACCAGTAAATTTTCCTGATCTTAGATCTCACTTATTGATTATACACGAGCCGCTATTTAGCAGACAGAATAAAAGTGTGACTACTTCTTTGCTGACAAACAAACTGTATCCAGACCTCATACGTGCACGCAAGCGTAGAATATGCCCAAGCTTTAAGTGTCGCCGGGTAAGCAGATTTTCCCAAAAGTTGATAGGAATGGTAACAATGGGTAACAGAGTGATGGGGTGAGTTAAATGGATTATACCCTTCGACAAATGCCTTCTCGAAAACATTAAATATGTAATAAACGCCGCGGTAATGAATCGAGTTAATAAAGTATCATAACGGTGACCTATTTTATGTCTTGAGTTCAAGACAGCTACTTTAACCTATACTAAGGTGGCCGCGCGAGCCTCTGGTTGTGAGGCACACGAAAAGTACGATCTCGACTTTTCGTAACTCTCCGCGACCTGCTTACATAAATTTTGTTTCCGCTGATTTTTTGTTTTTTGTTTTTTTTTTTACATTGCCCGAAAAGGACGGAGCACTCGTAGTCTACTTCTAACCGAAGATCCCTTTTACAAGGTACCAGCCTGGTCAATTCGTAACCAGTCAGTTGGGTTGTTTCATGCCCAAACTAATAAGGTATGTTTTATATGTAAAGTATCTCTAAAGTAAGGTCGGTTTCCTATTTTAAAAAGCAATATTCCCTGCCTTAAATAAGTTCTGTTTCCGTGGTGTCCATTTTCATATACGCGACTAGTGAATGATGTATGTTTTCCTTTGTTAAAGTAAACGAATTTATTACCTTTAATAACGAGCGGAGGAAAAAAAAATCGGGATTCTTTCCTTTTTCAAAAGTATCCAGTGCTTTAACACATTCTTCAATAGTTATAAGTCCTTCACAACTTAGTCTATCTTCCTCAGATAATTTTGTAATTCTAGCTTGACCAAGAAAGTTTACCAAAATATTAGGCTGCACCG